AGAACAATGAAATGAAACTCTAGTACCTAAACACCAAAAAACAACGCTGTCCCTCCACTTGAGCTTTGTAGGTGGTGGAAATGAAATATCATTGATGTCACAAGTGTCCAATTATGAAACAGCAATATATTTTTGTCTACCCTCAGATATAATATCTAATCAAATTAACACCGCAAAGAGATATCATTTTTAAGTTTACAAATCTTTATTCTCAGTCGAAAACATGATACTAATTATTCTCTCCTCGAATTATGTAACTGTAATAATGAAACGTTTAATACGATGATTTTCCCACGGTATAAAAATACGAAAATTATGCAGCCGAGACGTTTTTTTTTGTTTTTCTTCGTGATTAATATGTGCAAAAATACAATTTTTTTTTACACGTGATGTATGCAACGTGCTATAGCGATCGATGTTTACTGTAAATGTGCCAACAATTACTTTTCAAAATCAAATGCACAAACGAAATTAATTTTTTGTCATAAATATGGAGATTACTATCTTACGGGCTCCCCGTGAGAACGTAATCACTTTTTTTCGACTAAACTGTAGCGCCAAGTAGAACTTGCCGTGAACACTTTTTTAACTACTTATTGGCCCAGGTGTGCGTGTTCGCTCGCTGTTAAATCGCATGTAACCGCGCGGAGTTATTAATCGTTGAATTTATTTCTGAACAACTACTACATCTGTGTTTGGCGGAACAAGATAAATAATCTGTACTCGAGTCTCGCCCATAAATTTCACGGCATAAAAATGTATGTAAATTAAATAAAACACAGGGCCAAGTAATAGGAAAAAATCATTTCGTAGTCCCGATTTGTTCGGCGCCTAGTCGGACAGCCCGTTGAAAAAATGAGAAATTTTTCTTCGCGCAGAAATAATTCATTATTTACACGTTATCAGTTGATGCGCTGAACACTCTGTGTGTATATACTGTACCAGCTCACACCTACTACCTATTATTACACAAAAGATTTCCGTCGATGAATAAATTTGCCAACCAGCGATCCTTTACCTGGACCTGTTGTGTATGGAACGGCGTTAAAAAAAAATGTATATATGTTCCGGATCGTTTTGCCCTAAATGTAACACAGGCACCTCGGCATTATTGGCGTACACCATTCACTGCAGACGATCAGCTCTTCTTTCATTGATGAGATTTTATTTATTTGTGTTTTTTTGTTAACTATATTGACACATTTCTGTGGACACACAATCGGCCGAGTATATTATACGATCCAGTTTATCGCGCTGCGTGTCGTACATTACATATCACTTTTGTTGAAAACACAACCTTTAGCTTGCACATGACATACCTGAGCAGAACACCGCACCCCGACCACGCAGCGATGCCTTTTTTTTTTTACTTATGCCAAATCTCGCAACGCCGTCCAAGGGCAATAAAACACTGCGGAAATTATAAATAATTCGTGCTAATGATTTTCACGTGTCGTTCATGATTTCTAAATATATGTTTATCGACATTAATAAATTTATTTTTATAGCAACAGCGCCGGTTACAAGTTAACTTATCAAGTCGTTAAATGATATCCTATTTGTATTTAAATTATGCGGGTCAGTATTTCCATGTAAAATAATAATATTATTGAACAGAATTCACATATGCGCACGTTTCGATTATGATGAATGGCTCCAATATACAATAACAATTTTAAATAATCAAATTACATTTTAATCGATTTGAACAGCCGATGACAGTAAATGATTTTTACTTATTTTGTTTTGACTATAAACGGACTATAATGACGTTTTATTTGTTAAGTTTAACTCGTTATGATATTTTTATGATAACATGGTGAAGGTGTAACCGAGTGCGTAAACGTGCCGTGATTCGCAATGAGCTATCAGATTTGCGAGGGGAACAATTAATTACACCCCATTTCTATCTGTTTATTGTAATCGACAAATTTACATGAATTGGACGGTGCTGGGAGTAAGAGGGCACCAAATTTTTTATTTACGTTGTAAACGACATTGTTCTATTTCGAATAGGTTTTTTTTTTTATTTTCTTTATTTGAAATATTTACAATCTAAAGATATATTTATGTTTCAATAAGTAAAAATGATATTTACAGCTACCTCTTAAATATATTGATATTTTTATTGCAATTTAACGGCTCAATTATTTACTTCTCAAATACTCTATATTTTCTTTATACACAGCATCTTTTATTCAAAACGTATGCAACTAACCATAAGCCAGTCCACAGGTTATGTTCGGCCACTACCATCGAAATTTGATAAATAAAAGTATTTCACTAGTGTATGCATTATGGCCACATAACTAAAATATAAAAATTGAGGGTCTGTATGAATTTCCATCTGATAAAAAATGTTTTATATATTAATAGGTATAGTTTTATTACCATTTTATGAGTAGGAGAGTAAGGGACTTCTTCCCCATTAAGTTGGTAAATATTTCGTCTTTAAGTAGCTATTTTATGTTATTGGAAGATATGATACCAATACCCCTCATCTTAATTACGTCCATGGTTTTCATAAATTAATAATAACATTTTTTTTTACCCATAAGTCGATTAGGTTAGTTAGCTGTTTGAGAAAATATCGGCTTCATTAAATTGTGTATTTTATAAATGTTAATTTTAAAGTCAACATTTTTCCTTCGTTTATGGTGCGTCTTTTAAATGTCCATAAAAATGTGCAATAAAAAAAATTATCCATATCAACTTGTAGTCTTTAGCCACGCACTGTTGTAATACATTATTTTAAGCTATTTATGAAAATGTTAAATCGTTGGTCCAAGGAAAGAGGAGTGTAAGAAAATTTGATAATCTATTTAAAAAAAAAAATAGGTATTTAGAGGGTTGTAAAGTATTTACTAATTTTTCGTACGTTATGTGTGGCATTTCGTGATTATGATTATTATAGCGAAACAATATTTTACAGTTATTATCTAATTCAGAAAAGCACAAATATCAACATTTTTCGATAGGCTTAAGAAAAATTGCCTTATATCTTTTATTTGTTACTACGGTTCCCACTGTAAAAAAAATATTTTTCACTTAACTTTATGGAAATCAGCAACTAAATGACATTTTACAAACTCTTAATTTCCATGGTTTTACGACGAATAATTTTATAAATAAATTGTGGTTTTTCCATCATTGCCATTTGTCGTATCTATCGTTCATACCTAATGTCAGGTATGTCAGATATATTGGGATTCAATTTACATTATTTATAATTAAAATCCGGAATTCAATTTATAGGTCGATAAAATTATCTTATTATTACTACTATTTTTTGGACTTGGTTTACTTCCTCTTTTTCCAATAAATCAGCAAACATTTTATTATTTTAATTTTTTGACTTTTTACTTTTATTTTCAAGTCGTACATCAATTGTGAAATAAATATCTGTAAATCTTTTTAGATCTTTATTGTTATATAGACGTTATTTAATTATACAGAGTGTTCAGTAAGTCAGGAAACGGGTTTCTATTGTTATCATTGTTTATAACAATTGACCTGTTTCCTTACTTACTGAACACGCTGTATATTGTTTATATATATATATGTATGTATTTATATAACACGTAAATTATAAATTTGTATCAATAAAACATAATATTTTATTTTAGTACTTAGATTTTGTTTATACCGAAAAAAACGCATGTATTATTCAAATAATCATACTTTTTAAATTAAACATCTTTAATCGTACAATATTTTATGGAAAACATTGATTATCTCCTTCGTAGGTTAATTGTTTGTATTTATTTCATGGAAGTTTTCTAAAATTATATAAACTTAAAATTGAATAAAAACTACAATATTTTACGATCATATTAATTAAATTAATAATTAAGAAATAATTTAGTGAGCAACTAAATATTTAAGAACATTCCTATGGTTATATAAACCAAATAAGTTTATTTAAGATTATAAAATCTACCAGGTATATTATTATATATTTATATTTATGTTTTTGTTGCAATCCAAAATCTACCCTCGTTAAGGTTCAATATTGATAGAAATGTTTTATAGATATTGAACCCATCTGTAATTTTCAAGTTACAGTTTAACGTTACAAGTTAGTTAATTTAAGCGTTTTTTATTTCTAATAATATTTGTCTTCTTCTTTTTTTTTTTTAAACAACGGTTCAAAAGTTATTTAAGTTTTCAAAACAAGCTGTATGTTTTACATGTAATACGTAATTGAGCGAAGCGTCTTGAAAACTCGATACGCGTCTTTTTATTCAAAGAACACTCACATGCGATATTTCAGTGTTAAATAATAACATTTTTACAAAAAAAATATAAGAAGTGATTAAAATAACTATTTTAAGGGATGTGAAAATCGTGTACATAAATCTCACTGACTAGATTTACTCATTCAGTTAAGTTCATTTTAATAATATATTTGGACTAGAAATATTGACAGTAACTGCAGACCAATACGTCAAATATGATCAGTATTACAGTAAAGCTTTTGTTATAATTAAAGAAAGAAACACTGTACGTGATAAATACCCTGACCAACCTTTTGAGATAATTAAACAAATTCATTATCGCAATATTCCAAGCGACAAATTTCGCGTGCCAATTTTAAACATTTTTATTTATTCATATTTAAAAAATTCAAAGACCGAAGAGGTTGTTTTGGTTGGGTATTTAGAAATTTTGTGAGGAGAGTAGCTTTTAGGACGTGGGGAAATTCACGATGATTTCATGTCCACAGGGAGATGTGGACCCCCTTAAATACGCCACTAAGATTGTTGAAAAGTTCATTTGGAGGAGGATCGACGTGCGCCGAGCCGCATGGACAAGTTAGCAGCAGACGCGAACGAGGTAGAGGTGGAAGAGCTCACGGAACGCGTAGGTGAAATAGGTAAGAAGACGAGTGTACCAGGTTCATGACCGGTGGCGGACGGCCGCCCCGTTCCGCCTATCATTGGCGGGGCGGCCAAAGATAGGCGGTGCCCGAATGACTGGTGGCGCGCGCGACCCGGTCCGTGTACCCGCTGCGTCAGTCACGCCGTGGAGCCACTCGGCGTTCAACGACCCGCTGCGAGCATCCCGAACGATCGTCGACTTCTTGTACGCGTATGCGATATTTTGTTTTTTAATAATCATACTAATATTATTATTATTTTGTACGGTCCGCACGTGTTGTACTCCGCAATACTCGTAATAATAATATTACTATTTAAAAAATTGCCACTTGAACGATTGCGCAATTTATTTTTGTTAAACTGAATTATTCGACCCGAGTGCGCGCGCGAAGACTCCGTTGGTCGTCGACGGGCATGCTTAGTGCCGAACGGTGAGAGTTAAAAATTCCACTCGGATTGATTACGGTGAACAATCGACCGCCCCATCCGAACGGACCAACTGAAATTTCGCGTTTTTCGTTTAAACGTGTTCCGGTACTCGTTGACCAACACGACTATTATCGACGATCAATAGGTGTGACGAGCGTAAATGACGACGATCGCCGCGTTATGTTAAATCCGTTTATGGACAATTCGCCTTTGGCCAGCAGCATGGGCGTTAAAGTCGAAGACGATTACATGAGCGGTCACCCGCAAGATCAGTACCATCACATGCACTACGGACAGCCACCGCCACCGCATTCCGGGTACCCGGGCGCCAGGGATTTCTTGATTCGTCGGGACGCCGCCGACTACCATGCAGCCCATCATCAGCAGAGCGGCGGCAGCGCCGCGGACTTGGGCCTCTATCCGGTGCATCACGACTTGCAATTGCACCATCACCATCACCACCATCAGGTGTACCCTGCGCCCGTGCCCGTACCGCCGCCGGCCGTGGTACCCCGACACAACGACTACGGTCCGCAAGATCCGTACGGCCAACAAGCTGGCGGCGCGTTCTACCGGTACATGCGGCACGGCGGCGGCGGCGGCGGCATCGTCGGAGGCCCAACTTCAGCTCTCAAAGACATGTCGTGCTTGTGGATCGACAAACCCGGTCCACCCATGCGGACGTGCGGCAAGATGTTCGGGTCCATGCAAGACATAGTTTCGCACATCACGGTGGAGCACGTAGGCGGACCCGAGTGCACCACTCACGCGTGCTTCTGGCACGGCTGCGAGCGCAAGGGCCGCCCGTTCAAGGCCAAGTACAAGTTGGTCAATCACATAAGAGTGCACACGGGCGAAAAACCGTTTCCGTGTCCGTTCCAGGGCTGCGGCAAAGTGTTCGCTCGGTCCGAGAACCTCAAGATACACAAACGCACCCACACAGGTACGTGTTGATATCTAACTGAACCGTTTTTTTGTTTAAATTGCCGAAAATTATCTTTTTGTGACAGTGTAGATGTGATGTCCCGCACAAAGACATTCGACGTTGACACGTGTAGGACTCGCTAGACAGACGTGTAATAAAAACATGTCGGCGGCGCTCAATTTTGTAGAATTTTATCGCTTGACGATATCGACACGTTTACAATCTAATTTATTACTTTTCTCTACTTGAATGTTATGTATGTTTTGACCAATTAGTTTTATAAAATCAGATAATAGAGTAACACCGAAGGCAAAAACTAGTCGCGTGTAGATATTTTCTGAGCACCTGTGTTTGGTAAACGCTCGTCTATTTAAACGTTTTCTTCTACGGCATAGGTGATTGTGTGTACAGATAGAGGTTTTTTAACCGAAATCCGCCAGTTTCACGGTGTAGTCTTTTGGTCGGAATAAAAAAGCCGACTGTCGACGAGTTGCGTACGGATCTAAAGTTATTTTTCTTTACAGGTTATTCTGCCTGATAACGTTGCGCGTTTGCGGTTTGTCTAAATATAAACGTTATTACCTATTGTTCACAAACGTCGCTCGGCTATTACACGCTGCGCATTCCCAGATGTGTTGTCCTAAAATATCTAGGAAAAACAAACCAGTTTTTTTTTTGACGAAAATTAAACATTTGGTAAATTAATTATCGAAAAAAGTTTTTTTTGTCATCCACTGGGAACTTTTTCACCGTGGAATCAAACGAAATAACGTAATGATAGTAAAATAATATTTCATTATGTCTGTAAAAATCGTAAAAATAAAAATATATATATATTATTTTTTCTTTCATTGTCTAGCCGGTAAACAAAAATGTAAAAACTGACTGGTTTGGGGATGGTTTCGAGAACCTCTATTGTGGTCCACCCTTTTTTCTTGTATTCTTCGGCCTGCGACCACGACCTCTCGGTCCCAAGTTTTATTCGTCTTATTGTTGTCTTTATTTGGACTTAGTTTTCTTCTTGTGTCCATACTGTACGATAAATTACTGTTGTGCGTAAACTCGGTTTTTTGTATTATTAAAAAACTCGTCGATTCACTAGTATTTTTTACACTCGGCATTTGTTTCAAAATGGCGGATAGAAATCATATGTCTTTGACAGAAATCTCTAAAATATGGTTTTTATAATTTTATTCGATCACAGAAATCGTTTTATTAATAAAAAGTTGGTTCGTTTATTATTTTACTAATAGAGCTAACTAAGTGATTTTTAGTTGAACTCGTAACGACATCGTCGATGACCCCTAGGAGTTATAACCTATCTCATTTATGTTACAAGTACATACAATTTGATATAAAGTCCGTACACACTGTAATCCGATTAGATAAATTACAGGCCATAACATTAGTGCATGTCTATCACGTCAGAAGCTATTTGTTTTAATGTTGCTACCAAATGTAATTCTATTTATAAGCTATGAGTTTATTAGGTTGTGTATACATTTTTTTTTTTTTTTACATATTTTTCTAGTTGAAATATATTTTTAAGTGTGTATAGTATTTGTCGAAGAAGATTTGTTTACATAAACATTGTGTGAATTTTGAAAAAGAATGATTTTAAAATATTTTTCTTATTTAAACTATTAGTTCATTATGTACATCTAATATTTTATGAAAAACTATAAATTAACTATTTGAAAAATTCCTTGTTTAACATTTTTTTTTAAATATCACTAATCAAACTGTTAGTGTAGAGATTTATTAAAAGTAAAATTGCTTTTGGAACTCGAGCGAAGAAGTTACACTATACAAACTGAGAAGCCGTCAAAACTGCGGTTCTCATTCTTTTATAATTAATTGAAATACATATTAAATGCCCAAAGTTATATTTTACCGTATTAGTGTTCATAACACAATTTGATGTCTTTTATTTTTCACCCTAAACCAGAGCCAAGTAAAATATTCTCAGACGCCTCACGCTTACATGTATTTTTTTTTTAAATTATTGTTTATCCATATAATATATAATTTATACGTCATACTTGTGTGTGTTTATTTTTGGCCGAGTGCCAACACAAAGATATTCTTTCCGCTCGTTCAATGACAATTATTTAAGAGCATATAAAACTCTGAACGTTTAAGTTGGTATTATTATTCCCCCGACCGAAATAAATACACACCATAAACTTTATCGACGCTCAAATTGAATGTTCAATGGGATCGGTTTTCTATATCAATTACATCAACGCCTTTAGAAAAATGGTTATTTAGATTGTCTTAAAGTACAGGTAGAATATTAATAGCTATCGCGTATGCGGAGCTCTTGTTTCAACTATTGTATTTTTTCTGATTTTTCTTTTTTTAATATTAAAAATGGTTTTTCAAATTTTTTAGTATACGCCTCCTTCCAATAAAATAAAAGTAAAAGTATTATGAACAAATAATAATGAATAGTGATGATTCGATTGCTTTAATTATATTCCCCCGTAGTATCTACGAAGAAATCTAAAAGTTTTGTTTTTTAAATAAAATGTTCAAAGTGCTCTCCGGGTTAAAACCATCGAGGGGTGGTAGCTTTTTTCGTCTGAAGGAAGTATTTAGATAATTTTTATCGAACGAGGAAATCTGGAACTAGTTTTTTTTGGTTGTTCTTAAAAATATAAATTACACGTTCGCGCGCTTTATGAATGGTAAGCGAGAGTGGAGGGGAACAAGTTGGAAAAACTGGTTCTTCAGTTGGGTATAAATTTCGAGAACAGTCGTTGTCTCCTACTCGTCCGAGATTGGTAGAAATACACACATATGCATAATGTATTATAATAGTCCGGTATTATTATTATTATTATAACTTGTAGTCCGTGCCCATAAATATCGTGTTTTTATGGTGCTCGAAAAGTTTCCATTCCTTTTTAACACTTGGGATCTAAATAATATATTAACATTATTGATCGCCCTTGTCTGTATGTTCGTTATGTGTGTGTTAGTGTCTCTAGTCAACGTTTACCGTACACGGTGTGTGTGTGTGTGTATAGTTTTGTCGAGGGTGTTCGATTAAAAGGCGCCGGGGTCCCATACAGCCGTAATAATAGTAATGACTTTGTTTTATAGCACTCGAGCAAACGCCGTACAATCGTTTTATTGTACGCCGTGTGTGTGTTGTGTAAAGAGTTAAACGATTAAATACAAACGCCATTTACGGAAGCCTTTTAACACGAGTATTAATTAAACTGCGTGTTGTACTTATCGGTCGGTCGAGTTGTGTGTATAGATAACAAATCTGAATGCTTTAAAAACACCACCGGGTGAACGTTTAATTTTTTTACATTTCAACGTGATACACTAACGATAGAACCCTAAACGTTCACGTGTTATGCGAAAGCACTTTTTTTTGCCACTAGTTACTTATCTGTGTTCGATCTTACGCCGTCGTCGTGCACATTAGGAAATTGTAGTTTTGCGGTTTGGTCGTCGCAATGCAATGTAATCGGTTTGCCGTTGGCGGCGCCAACTTGCATAAAAAAATACGTTTGTGGTCTATTAACGTTTCATTTAGAGAGTGCGCCTTTAACCGCTGAGGTTAGACAGTTTTCGACGGAACGGTATTCGGGAAATGTATTAGATTTTTTAGCACCGCGGTGCGCCCCTTCTCTCATTTCGCTTTACGAAACACGTTGAACGGTTCCTCCGAATAAAAACATGGCGACGATTCGTAAAAAAAAAAAAAAAAGACGATAGGTGTGTGTATATATATATATATAAGTGTAACAGTAGCTCCCCTTGCACGACATGCGATCGCGCCTGTAATTGTTGAGAACGGGTTGAAAATGGCACACACAATGACAACCGACGACGGTCATGGTGGCTCTTTGCGTGGCGGCCTACTAAAACTACCCCCGGAGCAATATTGTTATTATCCAGGACACTGGGCGCTGTATATATTATTATATTATCCGAGAGCAGTACCGAGAGAGCATTAAGAATTACTAATGAGACGGAAACGGCGGCGGCGGCTTCCAGGGGCAGCGGTAATCGGGCGGGAGGGGTGAGCCCGTAGGGTTCACAAAACCGGCGTGTAACAACCGCGAATTACGCCCCTGCTGTCGCCGCCGGACCCTCCTCATTGTATATAGGTTACATTCACAATAGTAATAATAATAATAATATACACTACCGGGTCTCCCTATAAACTCTCCGGCCTGTGTTGTACATTTACCCAGCCGCCGACGCTTTCTCTCCCGATTGTCCTTCGCCTCACGGTCCTCCATTAACGGTCCGCCGATATTATATTATCATTATTATTATTGTGTTTCGATAACCGCAGCAGTGGCGTCTACCTACGCGTTAAAGGCCGTCGTCGTCGTCCGGTAAGTCCTTACCGGCTTACGCGTCAGGATATTGTGTAGCGCACGATACCCAAACGGTTTCTCCGGCTCTTGGGTTTGTTTGGAAAACCCTCGCTCGATATTTCATACCCTAGTAGAAATGTGTAAACGTTTTTCCTCCTCCGGGCGAACAATATTAAACGCAAGTTAATGGAGGAGAAAATTTCTCACAGAAATCCTCTTCGAATCACAAGGTCGTTTGGTTTCACAGTTTGTATATAAATATTAACGCGGAGTGTCCTTCCCAATAACGATCCCTTAATAAAAACGAAAATCTCGTTACCCAATTCACATGTACCGATCGATTAAATATTTTATAAAATACAACGGTTACATTTGTAGCGGCGACGCATCTAAATACAATGCGTACGGACGCTGTTTAAGTCGTCCTGTTGGTTAATTTGTTTATCTCGAATAGGAAGTGATACTCGTAAACAAGACTTGTTAGGCGTCTCAATTACACACAAACCAACATGCCCCAAACGGTTACGTTACTAGAAAGGAAACTCGGAAAGAGGTGTGGGGACGTGGTGGCTAAACTAGTCGATCCTAATGGACACCGCGTTTGTTTAATTGCTTTGTAATTTGTCGCGATCGTGTCGATTACCACCGTTTGATTTTTAATGGGATCGAGAT